CGTTCTCTTCGGTCATCTGGAGAGGCCCTGCTCGTGATCCCACCGGCGTCGCAAGCGCACTTGGTGGGGACGCGGGACAGGGCCTTTTCCATGGTGGCCCCCCGACTCTGGAACACCCTCCCCAAAGACCTCAGACAGGCCCCTACATTGGCTGTCTTCAGAAAGAACCTGGCTTTTCCGATGCGCCTTCCCAGATTAGGAAATCTCCACCACCAAGTCCCATAAGCACTTTATCAGAACCAATGATTGCTGCACATCGCACATCGCACTTGCCCTGGAAGCCCTATATACACCTCCTGTCACATCAGCACCCATTGCTCTGGCCCGGCCCAGTTTTATTGTGTTTACTGTACTGTGCCTGTTGTTTATTTTGCTTTATTCTATTTTAATTGTTTGATTTACTTAGATTGTATTGTTGTGTTGTGTGTTGAGGCCTCGGCCTGTGTAAGCCGCATCGAATCCTTCGGGAGATGCTAGCGGGGTACAAATAAAGTTTAATAATAATAATAATAATAATAATAATAATGTTCTAACCAAAAAAGATGGCATGTTACAACTGAAAACAAAGGAAGAAATTTCCCAAAAATTTAACACTGTCTCATGGTTCCAGTATATCCAATTAAAGGAATATTTTAAGAAGGACAGAGAAATAGGCTTCAATGAAAAAGATGATTTCCAAGATAAGATCATACTGAAGGAGAAAAAAACGATAACGAAGATCTACAATAAGTTACTACACTGGGCAACAGAGACAGAGTTAATCAAGGAAAGCATGATTAAATGGGCATAAAACATCGGAAGAGAAATAAAACTGAGTGAATGGTAGAAGTTATGGACCAAGAAGATCAAGTATACATACTCGATAGATTTAAAGGAGAATCAGATCAAGATGATATATAGATGGTACATGACTCCTCAGAAACTAAGTGTAATGTATAAAAATTCCTGGAATAAATGCTGGAAATGTAGCACACAGGTCGGAACATTCTATCACGCTTGGTGGACCTGCCCCAAGATGAAAACATTCTGGAAGATGGTACAGGAGACATGTGAGAAGATATTTAAAACAAAGATCCAACTAAAGCCAGAGTATTTCCTGCTAGGTCTAGTAGATGAAGAACTAGAAAAAGACCGAAATAATGATATTCTATTCACATACCTCGCTACCGCAGCGAGAATGGTAACAGCAAAAAAAAGGAAGCAAAATGAACCCGCAACGAAAGAAGAATGGCTAAAAAAAATTCAAGAAATTAAGGGCGCGGACAAACTAACGTTTGCCCTTAAAGAATCTTATGGTAGACCCATTATAAAGACAAATTGGAAATTGGTGGAGGACTTTCTCACCGAAGAATACAAACCGGAAAATCAACAATAAGAAAAAGAACAGCAAGGACACAGGAAAACAGTAAAGAAGAGACAGGAATAAGAAGAAAAATGGTAATATCAAGAGTACAGTAGGAGTGGAGTGAAAGTTTTTCTACAAGCAAAAGGAAACAGAAGAATAGAGAGAAAATGGA